GTGTTTAGTATCTAAAATTTGGGCCAGGGATATAGCTCAGTGGCATAAGTGCCTGCCTGGCAAGTGCAAGGTCCCAGTTTGATCCCTGGTACCACAAAAAGAATGAATGAATGAATGAAAAGAAAGAAAAAATCTATATTGCTCCAAATTAGATGAGAGGTTTTTTAAAAAAAGGATCATTGCTATAATTTAAAAAGAGATATTGTGGTATGTAAACGATTATCCCAATAAATACTTTAGATGTTTTAAGTACCATTGCATAACTGAGATATTTAATATTTTACTATGATTGCAGTTTCTTTATTGTTGAAATTTTATTTCCTCTGGAACTGGTAATTGGCTTTTTTATTTGATTTATTTCTATAAGTCCCTGAGTTAACTTCTCAAAATCTTTACTTTAGTTTAAATTCCTTCTCAGCACGTTCAAACGCATGATGTATTCTGTTTCTTTTCCTTAGTGGTAAAGCACTGAATATTTGCACTTGATTTCTGGTCTACTAAGATGTTTGTTTTACATGGGAGAATGTCTTTATCCTTTAATATTATCTTTAACTGTTGCTGTTATTTTTTGTAACAAAGGAACCTCAATTAGTAGGTTTCTTGTTCTGTTCATCTATTCTATCCCATTGCACCCACTCCCAACTTGCTTTTGTTGGGGGCAAACTTGAGATATCTATTACAATTTGGGGAATATTTTCTACTGCTACTCCTATATTTTTCTAGTGTCATACAGTAATTTTCCAAGATGAAAGCTATTTTTAACTTCCTGGAATAATCCCAACTTGGTCTTGGTCACAATGTAGTATTTTTTTTCCCACTTTATTACCTAACTGTTGTCTTCGTTATTTTCTCCTCACAACAATACCTAATACTCACAACTCTCTGGAGAAAAGGTTCATTTTGGCTCACAGTTTGTAGAGGTTTCATAGCTTTGAGTGGCTCCAAGGTGCAACATGGCAGAGGAGAGACAGCCCGTGGCATGGCAGTCAGGAAGCAGAGAAGGACCAAGGGAGGAGAGAAGGAGACAAAGGCCAAGTCCCCAGTGCCCACCTCCTCTGACCAGACTTGCCCTCTCAGCCACACTCTAGCTCTAAAGCCATCCATGAACTAATCCGCTGATGAGTAGCACGTCCCCATGATCCAATCATCTCTCACTAGAAGTCTTGGTGAGGACATCAAGATAGGAACCACAGCATTGCTCCCCCAGCCCCCAAAGGACTCATGCACCCTCTTTATGCAAAATGTATTTATTTCATCTCTAAAAGTTGTAAGAGTCCTAGCGGAGCTGTGCTAAACCAATCTGTTTCTCATTCAAGTGGATGCCACAATTAGCTATAACCATAATATTTTATTTAGGATTTTTACATCTGTGTTTATTTGAAGCATTGGACAAAACAAGTTGGAAGGCT